CCAATTATGAATTAGTAGTCAAGGGCTACCAGTAAAAAATGGAAATCTAATCAGTCGCAGTTATAGCCCGAAATCCTACTATTTCGGATTGAAACTGTTCTTTCCAAGTTTTTTACCCCCTCCCCCTCCCAAACCTGATTCTTTCTTACTCCCCCTAGCTTTATCTTCACCTCTTTTTATCGTCACACTCGCCTTTTCCCTTTCACTTCTCTTTCTCGACTACTACTTCCAAAATTCGGATATGAAGTCGAAGAGTGCCACAGCTAAGATTTTCTCGAAGTGAAACCAAAAGGCGTTGACCTTTTCCCTCCTATCGCTCCTGCTGCCTGGGACAAATCCTCTTAACAATTTTTTTGGAAAAAACTTTTTGTTCGAAACAGAACAGATTAACGATTAAAATCAATTGTTAATGTAAGACAGAGCAAACATAATGATTAAATGCACGAAAAGACATAGACATTTAATTCTGATGTACACAGCGGCTTAAAACTCTATCAGCTTTTTGCGTGATGAAGATTACATCAGCTAATCTGAGCGATATAAATATCAGTTACTCTAACCGATGAACGGATGATCAAGAGGACCTATAGTCATTAGAAGGAGAGGTGCTAAATTATCAGCGCTTAGGACCTGACTGCTGTACCCTGAAATGACCACATACTCAGAGCTTACATGATTCGATAGAAGCACAGCTTGTCAGAATCATCAATCACAACAAAAATAAACCATCATTAGACCTAAAATCTAAGAAAAAATGTGTTAAAAAATAGGCAAATTAGAGAATATACTGTCTGCAACTGGCTTGTTTTGGTTGAGCCGAGTGAAGCTAGCAGCTCCCGAACTAGATGTGCGCTCTCGTGGTGACTCTGATTGGTACGGATTCGGATTATTATACTGCCGATCTGGTAACAGTGCTGAAAGAGCATTTCCGAATTCGTCGAGGAAAGGAGAAGGTCCGACTCTTTCTTCCGGAAATTCTCGGGTATGATTGTTTAGATGGGTTGAATTCAAATGCTTGATGGGTGCTGTGAAAGATGATTTTATTGTTGTTGCTCCGGAGGATGCCTGATGATTGAATTTCGTGTTGTCTTCTGCAGAAGGCCGCATATTTATTGTGATCATGTTCCTCCCGAATGAGGAGGGGTCGATTGTCAATGGCTCTGTGTTGGTGCGTGTCGTCGCTGTTACCTGAAATTCACTACAGAAGTGTTTACTTTCTATTTTATTCCTTAAACAAGTCCAACTTTTGCAGAGTACCTGTTTGGTGTATAACTGCTGATAAGCTGTTAGCCTTTCCGGATGAGTTACGCGAGAATTGACCGGTTGTAAGCCAACTACTTCGCCTGAAACTGCCAAGGATGAATATGGCATTTTGTTCCAACTCTTTTCTGTGACTGTTTGGCAATAGATGAGGCGATATAAATTTGAATTATATGAGCCAAATCTGCTCCAAAACTGCTTGATTTGGTTGTGACAATTAAATTTTGGCTAGTGTGTAATACATTGACTGAGAAAAGGAGTTATATACGGTTGCCTTATAGCAAGATTATGCCGTTTTTTCGGAAAATATCAAATTCAAATGGCGTTCCACACTTCGTACTTTGAATGTATGTCTCGTT